TAAATTAATAAGCTAATTACAGCTAGTAATTAATCCCTAGTATATAAAGAAGCTAATAAAGAAATAAATAAAGTAATTAAATATGCTAATATTACTTTACTAGGCGCTCTACAATTAGGTAACGCACTAAAATATCTATATAAGCAGGCAAAATTTATACTTCTCCTTACTTTACTACTATTACCACTAAGCGCCTTTTTTATAGCTTTTGTAGATATTAACATAAAAGGTAGTAAAATAGGAACTAATAGTTCTAAATTAATTAATCTAATAGCTAATAGCTAAATACTTACTAATAGTAAAATAAATAATAAGTAAATACCTAAATTAATAGCTAATAGCCTATTAATTAATTTATTAATAGCCTATAGCCTATAAGCTAGTAACTTACTTAAGGTAATTAGAGCTAATAATAGTTTAAATAATTTGTTAAAAGCTAATAGCCTATAAGCTAGTAACTTACTAGGAACTAATAGTTCTAAAATAATAAGGATAGTAATCCTCTATACCTTATCTTATCTTTATGTAATTAATTTATAAGATGTTACTAAGTATAAAAAAGTATTTAATTCCTAAGTAACTATAGCTAGCCTATTAGGTAATCTCTAGCTAGTAGTAACCTTATTTAAAGGCGTTATAAAAAAGTATTATCTTACTGTATATATAGGTGGTTAGATTACGCTAAGGACTTTATTTAAGGCTGCTTTCTTTATAAGGCTTACTTTATAGCAAAAGATTATAGACTACACGTAAGGCAGCTTATAGGTAGTAATATAGTCTAGTATATTATAAAGTTAACTAATAAGTAAAGATTACTACCTTTAGCTAAAGTATACCTAAGGCTACTTAATTAACTATATAACGCCTAATAAGTATAATAATTATAAAAACGTTACTAGTAAATTACTAGCACGTAATAGAGAAGTTACTAGACCTTATAGGCTAATAAGTATATATTAGAAGTTACTACACCCTCTACTAATCTATAGATAGTTAAAAAGCTACTTATATAAAAAGTAATTTAAAGACACTAAAAAAGCGTATCTATGTAAGTATAAAATATTAAAATCTTAAGTAATAGTGCTATAAGTAGTAGCTAAAAGGTATTAAATCCTTAGCTACTATTAAGTATATACCTATAAGCTTAATAAATATAGTTAATTAACTAAATTTAAAGTAAGACTTATAGTCTATAGTAACTAATAAGCAAAAGATCTATAAGATACCTATATAGCTATATTAGTAAGTATATTATTTAAAATACTTATAGTAATAGCTACTTACTTTAATCTAGAATTACTTTAATATAACGTAGTAAATACGTTTGTTTACGCTACTATTAATAAGGTAGTATTTATAAAGATACCTCTAGGCTACTAAATCGCTAGCTAGATCTTTTAGTTATTAAAAGCACTCTATAGGCTTTAGTAATTACTACTACTATAGTAAAAGCACCTTAAAAAAGGACTTACTACATAAGGCTTTTACTAAGTGCCTAGTAAGAACTACTATTAGAAAAAGGATTATATTATATTCTTCTTTTATATTAATAACTACGTATTAGCCTATTACTATATAGATAAAGCGTAAGTAAGTAATAAGATAGTAGCTCTTTAGTAATAATACTACCTTAAAGGTAGAGGCCTATTATAGTAGTTCCTTAGCCTTAAGGTAATTTATAACTAAAGTAACTATTATCTCTAGCTCTTATAAGTAGAATATTATAATAAAATAACAAAACTACTACTAATAAATAAGAAATATAATAAATTATTACCTATAGTAAAGGCTAAGCTATTACTTAGTAAATATATAGCCTTATTATAAGAGGTTAATTAATATTAAAAGAAGGTAGGGATAATCCTATATATAGTAGTAATAACTTAGCTAGACGTAGCTTTTATAGCTAGCTAGCTTGCCTGCTTTAACTATAATCTAAATCTAGATTACTAAAAGGTAGTAAATTACATACTTAAATATTTCTACTACACGTAGCACTTTTACCTTAAATATAGAGTAAGGCTAGGTAGTAAAGATAATACGTTAGAGGTCACTTTAGACACCTTATTTACTAATAACTTACTAGACTATTACAGCTTATAAGCGTACGTACTAAAGCTATTTAGAGGGCTTATCTTTTAGTAAGTAAATAAATAAGATATAGTAATAATATTAACTACTAAGGCTAAATTACTAGCCTTATTATCTACTATAAAGGAGGCGCTTTTTACTAGTAGATTAATTACTACGCTAGGTATTTAACTATTAACATAACTAAGAACTAAATTATTACTTAATAAGCAGATAGCTACTAAATAGCTACTAACTATTTATATTAGCTATAATAATACCTAAACTATTAGGCTTATTACTAAGGAGCTTATTTAATTATAGATAAGGCTATAGTATATAGATATTTATAACTACTAGCTACACTAAGAAGTAGTAGTAAATTAAATTACTATTAAATATAAGAAGTCTACTAAATTAATAGCTAATAGATTAATAAAGGCGCTTAGCGCGCTATAATTTACTATATTTATAGCTTAATTAAATATAAGTAACTAATATATACACCTTAAAGTAAATTAATAGTAAGAATTAGCTAATAATAAAGTAAAGCTTTACTACTAAATAGAGAAAAAAAATAAATAAGATATTAAAGGATAATTAATAAATAAATAGGCTATATATAGATAATATTTAGTATAGGCTCTATAGTAATTAATTACGCTACTAGCGCTAAGGGGGTGTGTTAAATATAGTAGAATTATATATAAATTTACTAGTAAATATATAGTTACCTTATAGTAAATTGTTAGGGAATAGGCAGTAAATTAGCCTTACTTTCTAATAGTAACTTTACTAATAATATTATATAAAGGTATAGGTGGTGTGCCACGCCCGTCAATAGACCATTCTAGCATTACCAAAGATCAATTCAGTTCAGGCACTAAGTTAAGT